AACAACAAGAATAGCTACATAACTTACATTTTCCACTGTGTTTGTGTAAGATGTCATTCAGGTCAACTTTACCACTACCAAGTGGAACATCACTCTTCAATGCAAATCTATTATTGATTTCAAATTCTAGAGTACTGTATGGCATGACAAGTCTGCAAAAACACAATATCAAACAACGATTATCATATCACCTTTCTACATTTCCAACATCATGAAACATCTCCTTTTTAAGAACAAATCCATGTGTCAATCTTTGGGAGTTGTCCTTTAGTAGTACTGTACAATTATAGAATTAAATGAGTAATTGATTGAGGCCTTGCTACTGTATAAGTAAAATTTATTGAGTCAGTGCTTTCGCCATCAACGACATCATCAGAGACTAAAGTGATCAAAAAAATTTACATGTTACTTATAAAGTAGCAAGGCCTCAGTCGATTACTCATTTAAATCCATGTCTATACAACAAATCTTCAAGCTATTATAGAAGATCAACTTTAAGACAACTTTGAGGCTGTTTAGGATTATTGTCAACGCAACAACGTGATGCATAACTGTAAACATGACAGCCAAAAGGTTTATTTCATGTCTGAATTGTACAAGAATTAGACCTTTCTAATACTCTCCTTCACAGTTTCCTGTGCCATCTTGAAAGATAGCTATGCCTTTACAATCAGGCAAGACAACCATTAAGCTAAYSACAGATACCTAAAATAATTGCTCTRTGGCATAATGACGTCACAGTATGTTTACATTGTGGATAGATGCTCAAAAAGACTCGAAATTTCGACCTAATAATATTCTTGATGAAAGTAGAACTTTAGTTCTCAAGTTTTGATGTATGTTATTTATCAATGATAGCTCATCTACATTTTGTTTGATATGCAGTCACTCTGATCCCCTCTGGTGACCATAATCCTTAGCATTAAAACAACAGAATGTTTTGGTGTGACGTAATTCTGCGATGGGGCAATTATCTGTAAGTACTAATAGACAAAGTTTCTATCATTGAATGCTCAACAGCTGTCTTACTTCATTGCAAAGGGCAACTATACCTTTCAAGATGGTGCAAGGAATTGTGAATGAGGCTATTAAAGATCCAAGAGTTCTATTAATGGTATATTGACTTAACAATCTTTCATTATCAATGATCTTGATTTAGAAGTTACATGTAGATAGGCAATCCAGGTCTTAACTCCCTCCCCTTCCAAAGTCGACAGAGAAGAGACTATGAATGAATTTAACACGATGATTAACTTACATAGTAAAGTGTTCATCCCAGACTGGTTCCCAGGTCTTTCTGACTGCTTCTGTCTTCTTTGGAGGGTTTTTAGAGTCCACGATAAGCTTGACGTATGGATCACCCTTAGTGAACCATCCATTTTGCTCTTTCAATTTTGCCCTTGATACTGAAATAAATAAATAAAACAYAAATGAATGGATGGAAGGGGGGAGGGAGGAATGGAAGAATAGAGGGAGGGAGGGGGGAGGRGGTGGAGGGATAAAGAAGAAATCTTATTACAACTTACCAGTGACCTTCAATTGAGAAAATTGACTGCAAGAAAACAATATTAAAATGTCATTAGAAAACTTAATGATGAGAAATATTTGGTTTGTTTCACCTCTTTCACCCACAATAAAAAACAAAATTTACTYTATAATACAAGTAACTGCTTTCCATTCAGATTTGACATTAGTACCRTATTTTGTATTCTACATTTAGCAATAAATCTCTATAACTATGCATCATGAGTAACACAGCCAAGGTTATTTGCACAATGATGATTTTTTCAATCTACATGTATAAATAAAACCTGAATAGTAATTTTTAAAGTTAGGCAAATTCGTGCAGCCTTCAAATGAACACGAGTTTTCAAGTTGTGCCAAAATCATAACTTTTTTACTATCTTTGTAACATTATCAAAAGATAAGCAATCCTCAAATGGACTATTTTTTCTCTTGCCCGATTCTTCCAAAAACAAACAACAAAGAAATGCCCCCCCTCCTCCATCATCAAAAAATGCTGCCATATCCCCTAAGTCATCTGATTGTGGGATCTATCTCYGCAAATGTGCAATTTGTATTACCTGGCTGGTGTTGCACCTGGCGCATCTACCATGACAAAGTCGTTGTCGCTGTCCTGGTCCACAGTTTCCTGTGGAGAGGATGCTGTTGAGTGGTTTGGTTTGAGTTTTGGTTAGTAAATGTTAGTAAATGGTTAGTATGATTATGATTATATTAGTATTAACAATACTAAAATGAAAATGGGAAGTAGTTTAGTGTGAGCTGTGTTGAGCTTTGTYTCTAAAGAAACAGCAAGTGAAATAACAGTRCTGTAGCATTAAATTCACAATACAAAAGTTTGAGTTTTCTCAAAATATATTTGGATAAAATCACATTCTAGAAATAAACAGGCAAGCAAACTTAAAGACAAAACAAAAACATTTTTTKATCAATTAGAGAGTAATAATTAGTGCAGCAGCAAGTTGAGGGATGTCAATTATGACAATCAAACATCAATCATTCACAAWAAATTAAGGAAATTACAAAATATAACAACAATAAGGTTTMATTTTTCCATGTTTATAAATGTAAACTTTATCTATGCATTGACACACAAGATGATCATCAATTCTAAAACATTTTGATGGATGTCTCTTGAAAATCATTGATAAATGCATGTCACCATGGTTTTACATTACTTCACACAGCTTTCAGGATTTAGTTTCACAAGTACCCCAACAGAAAGTAAAAGAAATAAATTATCCAGTTATTTTAGTATTTTGTGGTTACTATCAGGAAGTTGAAGGCATTGAAAAAAAATTTCAAAGATTGACAGCAGTGATCTTGAGTTGCAATCTGAACCACCATTACAGGAATGTTGTTTTTACTAAGATTATGAAAATACTAAAAAAACAAATCTAAAAATTTAAGGTGAAAATTCCCTCAAAAAGCCAAATGTGCTCATTATTGATTGATTGATCAGTTTTATGCATATACATTTTCTTTTGGTATCAGATTTTTAATAATTTATCAAATGGAAAAACATACTCATCAACAGGTCTGAGGGAAATGAAAATCTCTTMTAAATACATGAATGAGCATGCCCAAGTTTATAGAATTACTGAGGTTTAATCTAACAGGTGTTGGCAACTGAGAAATTGTACAAGACGGTTTGAATTATCTGCAGAATAAACAATAAGGATATTCAAAAATATCTGTATCAATAAGAACGAAATTCGGTACATGTGTTTTAGAAATTGGAGCTATTTGTCTCAATCAAAACACAACATGTCATTTGAATTGTGCTTGACAGCGTCACAAAGAACTCCTGTGGAAGACGTTAATAGAAATTTTTAATCGATTATTTAGTAAGCTCAAATAAGGGCGAGACTTTAGGTCGAAACAGCTTATGGAACCTTTGATCATAGTAAATTCATGTGCATTTCATGGAATTGACGTGATGATGAATTCTTTTCCAGACCTTTCGAGTGATCGTGTTTATCGAAACGCAAAAACTAAAAAAAGAGTAAATTAAACACGTTTTTGATTCCAACAGATTCACAATAAACATAGGCATTGTTTCGAAGAAAAGATAATAATCAATTGCCGAATGGCACAGCAAAAAATTATCTGCGAACATGGAGAGCTGTGGGGATGGCATCGCCTGGCTGCACTGACCAATCGGTCTTCCTGTACGAAATTATGTAAGTACTAAACTGTAAAACTTACGTATTCTAATATTTAGCATCGATCAATTCTAAATGATCTTTTCATATAACTACAATTTTACTACAAGTGAGAATTACAAAAACAGCGAAACATCGTGAAATATTAAGGGTCCTGGGAGGGACGAGGTTAAAATATTATTGCGCGAAAGTTTCACAATAAGTCTTTTATCACGAGAAATATATACGGATCACAAATAATAGAACTGTATTGAATTTATAGAATTTCACTTGCCTGTATTGGACAGCTGAGCTATGTTGATGAAATCTCTCGAAACGGTTTTTCAAACTTCCAAGGTCCAATAGTTCAAGGCTTGCAGTAGGGATTGTTGTCGGTAGATGCACGATTTGTTCTGTTATTTTTAACTACATTGCAGAAAACTGGAATATTTCCTAAATGGATATAAAAGGACACATTAAAATCACCGCAGATGATTTTGAAGCCAATCCAAGTCCTCGGGAGTTAAGAATTTACACGAAAATCATGTTATTTATTGCGAAGGAGACTTGACTTTAGTAATCAATCGAAGTCCACTTGGACCACTTTAAGGCAATTTTTTGTCTATTTTTCGCTTATTTGAGAATCTTCTCAAGGCAAATACGCTTCCAAAAACTCCCAAGTGTARAATTCCATGTTTTTTGAAACAATTGAGCAGCCCAGAGCTGAATTATTTGAGTTTGTGTTGTCAGCTAAACTTACGGAAACATGGCCGAAGGTTGGCATTCGCCGTCTTGTGTCCAACTTTTCGGTGTCTTCTTTCAACTCTAGCACGATGGATCCACTTTCTTTACAAAGATCGTTTGTCCTATAAATGCTTTTACATACAGAGGTCTCCGTGGAGACCCAGGTTGGAGGTATAATACAGATTTTTTCCTACGAAACCCCAAACAGTTGAACAACAAACCGACTTCAATAATTTCTGTGACCGTCTCGACTGAGCAAAGCACGTGACCAAAAATAGAATGACGTCATTAAGTTGGGTAAAAAAATTGACGCAGTCCTCCCCAGTAAAGGATTATTCAAGCGAACACTTCCTCGTTTTGATTGATGGAATTTAGATATTCATTGACAATTCAGTAGAGTTCGAGAGATCGAGAGTACATTTGTAGAATTCCTTTGTAGTTTGGAGAAAATAACAAAAAATATATTTGCCTGAAACATGCTTTGAAACAGCTCCAAGAACTTTGCACATAAAAAAATCTCCAAAAAACTTGACATGAAAGACCAACGGCAGACACAAGCAGAAACCTCTATACTACGAACACCCGCGGTTTATTGCGGACACCTCTATGGCAAAAATACTTCTCATTATAGGACCTCCAAGATAATACGATGAACAGCACTGCGATTCCCACAACAAGAGCAACGCCTCTTGGACACCGCAGGTACGGAYATTTCAGTAAAAATAACGGACCTCAGTTAACCGAACACCTCAATACTGCGACCACCTCCGTGCGGCCACTGACATGGAATTGCTTATTTAAATTTCAAGGTCACTTCCGGTGTGTAATTTTTGGCATTTTAGAATCCCCAAAAACCGGCTTTCAACAACACCTGGGTTTCGACCAGCTGATAAGAGATAAATTGTGGCATAATCGTTGTCCGTKGTTTCACGTGATACACAGCCATATATGGATCTACTTGAGTACCTATTTCGAAAACTGTTTCAAATCTTTATTACAAAGTTGCCCGCTCAAAAAGTCACGTAACTGGAAATAAACATGTGGTGAAAACGTCATAGCCTACAAAGACAGCTTTCGAATTTACTCGAACTTCCCAGACACTCAGACATATACCGGACTATGACATGTTAAGTCGATGGTGTGAGGATTTAAGCCTTGGCACGAGAGATAATTTTCACAATGACGTCATAACGCAGCTCTACCAGATACTTTGCCCGGTTTTCAGTGAAATGATGTTAAAGGTCTAAAGGAAAAAAAAAAGAATGAAAATCCAAAGAGAATTCTAGAATTTGTAGTAAATGACGTTATCATGCAAGAGGGCTGTTCACACGGCTGCGTGAGCAATACAATGGACTCTAGACAGTTGCCTGTCGTGCTGAACTGTGGGACATCCTTTTATTATGAATGAAACAAACTGTTTCGATAGCATATTTTCAGCTGGAGTTACAATTAAAAGCCATGAACAAGATATCATTTACTTAAGACGTGGCGACGCCGGGGGGCGGGGTGGGAGGAGGGGCTAATAATCACACTTTGGATCGTATGAGATAAGATTAAGGAACTAAGAATTGACCGAAAGAAACATACTTTTAAGTAAAACTGTTTTAATGTTAAACAGATTAAAATAGAAAGGTTCTTCTCTAATAGAGTACAAACACTAAAAGCTTGCAACACTTTGCACTATTTACTACAAAATAGTGCTAATTAAACAACAGAAAACAAAAGTTTTAGTGTTTATTCACGACATTCCATACCTAGCTTCAGTGCTTCAGCTTCAATGCTTTGTTCATCGTCACTGACTCCTGGGTATGGAAAGTCGTGAATGCTCTATAAAAAATCTTAGATTGGGCCTTGTTATGCGATGTTACGTCATTACTGCATTGCCATTGCATCTGATTCTTTGTTTTCATCACTCGTACCCAGTCGTTACTCTTCATTTCTATGGCGCTCGCAAAGGATCAAGGGAAGTCGAAAGAAAAAGTTACGTTTCTCCCCGGGAGTTCGGACCTCCCTTGATGCACCGGGTACGAGTCTGTGTTTTCATTACACGTCACAGCGGCCATCTTGGAGGAACTTCAACAAAAGATTTCTCATTAGTATCTCTTGTTCATTCCTCCAACATGGCCGCCGGTCTCATTTTCTGTTTTGCATCTCATGGGAATACATGTAGTGAAAAACGATCAATTGAAAGTACACAAAAATAAGGATAAAAAACGAAACATTTTTAAACATTTTATTTTGTAAATAATGCTTTCTTGCAACATTGTCGTGCGAGAGCTGATAGATACAGAACAAGAACACAAAAACTATAAAATCCCTTAACTCAATAAATCCCTTGGTGACTTCACAAAGGCATTTATTATTGTGTCCTTTTAAAGAGGGTTTTTTTCAACAGGTCTGTTGGTTCAGGAACGTTAATCAGGTCCGTTTGTGCAGGAACGTTCAACAACAGGTCCGTTGATGGAGGAACGTTTATGAACAGGTCCGTTTGTGAAGGAACGTTAAACAACAGGTTCGTTGATGGAGGAACGTTTATCAACATGTCCGTTGATGTAGGAACGTTAATCAACAGGTCCGTATGTGAAGCGTTTATATAGCCTCTTTTATGGAGGAACGTTTATCAAGACGTTCATTTTTAAAAGGACTTTTATCACATGGTCCTTTTTAAATGTGCCTCTTTGAGCTCATCTTCTGATAAGGGACTGGGCTGCCATATGTAACATTTTTAAGTTCCTATGCAGATTTCCCTGCGATTCTTGCATTGCGAAGGATAATTGCTCACACAGACCTTGAAGAACTGAAGGCATGTGTTCTCTAGTGACATCATTTGTAGGATCAAGGGCCATGACAGCATCTGTTAGGTATCTAAAAACGGAAAAAACAACGAATAAATTTAGGAAATCATAACGATCATATAATTGAGTTGAGTGTACTTTGAGTTAAGTTATTGTAAGACCTCAAATTTGGACTGCAGACGATTTCTACTAATTTGTAAATAATTTTATATCTATATAGAAGTCTCTTTATAGCTTTTTTAGAACTTGAAAAAAAAAAAAAAAAGCAAAGCAAAGCGAAACAAAACAAAACAAAACAAAACAAAACAAAACAAAACAAAACAAAACAAAACAAAACAAAACAAAACAAAAAACAAAACAAAACCAAAACAAAAAAACAAAAACAAAACAAAAACAAAGGAAACAATGCTAACCTGTGTTTAAGTTCTGTGTTTGTGAGTAAATCCACAGAAAGCTGCTGGATAAGCGACAATAGGATCGGTTGACCGAGAGGYAGTGGACTTTGTGCAAACAGTTCGGTGTTATCAACGCATTCACACACAAAGACAACCAGATTGAGGTCGGCTGCAGTTAAAGCCTGATGACAACACAGAAAAAATTAAGTCTTCGTTACAAATATTGATTTAGATATATAATACGTCATTGTACGAGTACAAAACTAAGGGCATGAAATAGTACTAGCAAAATACTGCTAAATAGCACACTATAATGTGAATTCTCGGGAGCTGATTGGCTGATTGGAGTGTCAATAACAGGACATGTACTCTATGGAGATACCATCACGTCTCGCGTGCACTCTTAGTCGAATAGAAAGAATGATTGCACTAATTTTTAGACTAAAATGTGGTAAAAAATCGCCAGTTTATGTTTCGRACCGTTTAGGTCCTTARGAAATTGCGCACGGWTTTGAGTAGTAATATTTCCGTTTATTGACACGATATTGACGTCATAAAAATGTTTAAAACTTTTCAGTCATTTGATGATTGWGTCAATAAGAGGGTGCGCAATWTCTYAAGGGCCGTTTATATATGGCATTTGTTTTTGAATTGTTTAATGTTTTCACTTTAATGTCTTWGGCAAATATGATTGTTTACCAACCTCTTGGAAAGCTTGTGCGTAGTTTCTTGCATGAACAAGTTCACGGATACGTTTCTGAAATAAAGAGATGACACATAGAGGATATATTCCATGYGCGCGCGGGGATACGAATTTTATCTACTCGTGTTGAAAGTCCCTCACTCGTTCGCGTCAATTACACAATGAAAGCAAATTATGTCGTAAAATACCTTTTTTCGTACTTCCACTACATAGAGAAACATCGAATGTGTTATTTTTACTAGTGAAAATAACAACTTTACGAAATGGAGAAATTTTGGCAATTTATAGATACTGATTATATGATAAAAATGGATATCACATAACATTTATGTCAAATCTCTTTTTCATCCCTTCCATTCATTTTTAAAATGCCATGGTGCACCAGCATTCATTTCGGTCCTGTTTTTGATTTTYCATAAATGRAAGGTAAGTWGACTTCAAATAACCATTCGAAACCTGCTTCCATCCGTTAAGGCAGAATCTAAAGGACGAATTAGACGGCACAACTTTTTCCTACAACCATCGCATGCAATCTGCGTAAGTCATTCTTACAACATGGCTACAACTGTCGTAGAAATTAAAAACAATTGCTTAATAGCCCTACAACAGTTGTAGCCATGTTGTAAGGATGACTTACGCAGTTTGCATGCGATGTTTGTAGGCAAAAGTCATGTCGTCTAAATCGGTCTTAAGGATGACTTTCTCAGTTTGCATGCGATGTTTGTAGGCAAAAGTTGTGTCGTCTAATCAAACTTTTTAAATGTCTCCATTCATAGAGAATAAAATGATATGAGAAGAGTAAGATTTTGCTTATATTTTAACATATTCTTAATTTCAAATAAACCAAAGCTCGCAAAGGATGCCGGTTGATCACGTGCCTTTAATCCACTTGTTTACTGATTCATTCATTCAATCATTAATGACAGAAAAGAAACCTCCAAAAGAGACCTTACCTTAGGATCAATAGCAGTTTGCTGSGGTACACTCTCGCTAACTGGTGCTCTCATTTGGGTAACTCGTAACTCCTGCATCGCTACTTGGACTTCTGACTTGAGTGTTTCTTGYAAGGACTGTTTCATTTGAGACTCGAAACGCACTGCCAACTCCTCTCGCAAACTGCAACCAAAAACGAAATCTTTACTATAAGCATCATAATCATTCGAGTTGTCAAAGCGCACTATTTTATAAAAAACGAATATAGGAAGACGATTTCTTTAACACGAGCAAAACTAGGACGAGTTGCTCAAATAGTGGAAAATGATATTCATAACTCTACTGATAGTGATTATTAGAGTGAAATCAAAAAAACGTGAAATAGGTATTATATTATTATACAATAAAATTAAGACTATAGATTTACAGCCTTCATTTTATTGTATATATTCTGTACAGCATATTATATCACAGATATTATAGTATTTTGWGTCTATTTGACTATCACACGTAAATGGTCAAATTTTATTTCACGGGTTTAATGACTCTAGAAAACAGAGAACTTAGCAGAACTTGCATTGTCCCCATTACCATGACAACAAAAGCATCATCATCATCATAATTATTAACATCATAAAGGCTGATTTACACGGTACGATTTGTCGCGCGCGACTTGTAGTATATGACTTGAATCGCGTAGTGTAAATGCCCCTACGACTTGTCTACAACAGTCGTACGCAACCTACGACTTGTAGTAGGATTTTGAACCACTGCTTAAAATCCTCTGACTTGTAGTAGGAAAATCGTATACTACAAGTCGCGCGCGACAAATCGTACCGTGTAAATGAGCCTTAATCATCATCCATGCAAATTACCTATGCATCGCTGTAGCAAGCTGTTTCTGTAGTACTGCCTCAACGTCGCGAATCATTGAGGTGCTGTTTCTCTGGATTTGTGCCTTGAGTTGTTCTATGCTAGCATCTTGATTTTCTTTTTGTTTAAGTTGGGACTGTACAGTGACCGTTACTTTTTCTAAATCTAGAATAAAGCATTGAAGATTGGTTAATGGCACCCTACGATGTCACTACTTTAATTTCATAACTTGCCATATCACGCTCGGTATCTGGTTTGTTGTTATCGTCGTTGTTGTTGGCTGTTGTTGTTGGGTGTGGTGGTGTTATTGTTGTTTGTGGTGATTGTGCTGTTGCTGTTATTGATGATGGTGGTAATGGTGGTGTTATTGTTGTTTGTGGTGATTGTGCTGTTGTTGTTATTGATGATGGTGGTAATGGTGGTGTTGTTGTTGTTTGTGGTGATTGTGCTGTTGTTGTTATTGATGATGGTGGTAATGGTGGTGTT